CCGCGTCCAGGCCCGAGCAGACACGGGGTCGGTTACTAGGACCCGGGTTAGGGATGGGGACCCCCAGGCTGACCCACCAAGGGATCCCTGCCCCTCCGAGGCTCCATTCTTCGCACGCTTCCGCGGAGGCCGCGAAGTCACCGCCGCTCCAGGACCTGCCACACACGGGTCTCAGCGTCCCACTCGCCGAGCCCAGACTCCAACAGAAGCAGCAGAACCCTGCATAAGCCGCGATGCCCGCCTCCTCCTGCCAGACTCGGGTCCCAAGCGCTCCACTCAGCTGCTAACGGTTACAGCACTTGAGGGAGACGCTGGGGTGACTCCGAGCTCCAGAGCTGCAGCCAGGTGCCGCAGGACCAGGGGAGACCAAAGGCTGTGGGGCAAGAGAAGGACGGCTTGTCGGCGAGAGGAAGCAACTCACACACTGCTGTTTCTTCCAGAAGGCTCTCCTGCAGAGCCGGCCACAGTCAGAGGGTGCCAGCACAATTCGCCATCACACAAGTACCAAGCAGGCCCTGTGGCGGGCAGAGTAACAGGGCCCCAGGGTGGTCAACGTCCTAGTCCTTGGAGCGTGTTAAGGGTCCCGGTCCAAATTCCAATGTGGTGGGAATGGGGTTCACCGCACCGGGCAATTCTCCGGACGCCCAGCTTGGTGTCCAAAATTCAGTTCAGTTCTGGCACTGTCTCTCCAGGGACAGCCTCAGATCTCACAGACTAAGGGCTCAGCCCCCCAAGTTCAACTTCAGACGCCAGTCACAGGCAAGTCTAGACTGTCACCTGTGCTTTGGACTGACCAGCTATAGATCGGAGGTTCCCATAACCCCCTCCTTGGAGTCAGTTCATTTGGTACAGCGACTCCTGGACCATTTTCCTTCCTGGACTACAGGTTTATTTCGAGGGATAGAAGCCTGGAACAGCCAGGTGGAAGAAACGCAGAAGGGAAATGGAAGTTGGAGGGGTGCCTGGGGGGCTCAGGCAGGTGAGCGTCTGACTTGGGCTCAGGTCATGATCTCACGGTTTGTGAGTTCGAGCCCCATGTTGGGCTCTCTGCTGTCCGCACGGAGCCTGGAGCCCGCTTTGGATCCTCAGTCTCCCTCTCTCTCTGCCCCTCCTCTGCTCATTCTGTCTCCTTCTCAAAAATAAATAAACTTTAAAAAAAAAAAACCTTTAAGAAAAAAAAAGACACACACGTAGAAAAAGGCACAGAGCGTCTGTGCCCTCCAGGAGCACCATTCTCCCCAAATCCCTACGAGTTCACCAACCCTGAGGCTCCCCGAACCCCGTCCTTTGGGGTTTTGCAGAGGCTTCATGACACACGCTTGGTTGCTTAACTCATTGGCCGCTGGGGATGGATGGACCCTCTCCCTTCCCTGGAGGAACTTCCAGTCCCACCCTCCAGTCCCTGGGTTCCTTCCCGGCACCGGCCAGCATCCTGTCACCTAGCGGCTTCCCCAGCCACCTCATTAGCATAAGAAAAGACACCTTTGTGGCTCTCACCCCAGGAACTTCCAAGGGCTTTCTGAGCTCCGTGCCAGGAACAGGACAAAAACCAAGTACGCATTTCGTATAAGCCACACTATCACACCTCCAAATCTGTTGGGTCACATGGCAAACAGAATTGGAGTTGCTTATCAGCTGATCTTAAAACAGATTCTCGGTGGGCCAAATGCAGTCAAGAGGGGCCCTGGAGAGTGCTGGGGGACCAGAAGAGGGGTCGGTAAAAAGATGTGACTGCAGAAGCAAGAGCAAAGCAAAGCAGGCTGGGGAGAACTCTGCCGGCCCCTCCAGCCACTGGCGAGGCCAGGAGCTGGGTTCTCCCCTGGGTCCTCCGGACAGAACGGGGCCCCGCGCACACCCTGATTTGCGCTCAGCCACCCGTGGCAGACCGCAGGGCTACGGTGCAGTAGCTTGGGTTAAGCCACTAAAAAGGAGGTAATCTGTTACACGACAGCAAACAGGAAACTATTCCCGGGACCGTGAGCAATTGTGAAATCACACCCCCCGGGGCGCAAGGGCCAGGCTGCGACACAAACACAGAACCTCGGAAAGGCGCCTTTCGGCTTCCAGGCTTCCACGCAGCCCCAAGCCCAGCGCGGGGGCCCTGGGTGCGGTTAACCTGTCGAGCGGGAATCCAAACACCTGTGCCATAGTCCCCAGGGTGGATGACACCCCGAAGCACTCCACCTGTGAAGAGCAGCCGCCGTGTTCATCCGTTCGCACTTCCCTGGCGCGTTCCCACGAATGCGGTATTCTGTGCTATTACTTTCGCATTTGACGGACGGAAAAGGCTGATTATAAACGATACTGAGGGACCTCAGGTCTATGGCTCTGAAGACTGGGCTTTTTCCCTATAAGTAAGGAGATGCTCAAAGTCACCTTAAAGGGATTTTTTTTTTTTTTTTTTAATTTTAGGAAAAACACAAATTAAAACATTAAATTTCGGAAGAAAACGGTAATGCCTCCAAATCGTCCCCAGCTGTGGGTCAGCTGCAACTAAATTGAAACCAACTACAAGTAATTGAGATCATTAGAAGACGCAGGTATGGACGAACAGAGAGGTTTATGGGCGCATCAGGGTTACGGTGTCACTGTCCCAGGAATCCCTGGAAAAGTCTGTGGGCTGAACAGGGCGGGCACCCTCACCTCCAAGCCAAGGCCCTCCCTAAATATTTCAGAGATACCTGTAGGGTCTGCCAGGTGCAAATTCGCAGTCTCATTTAACCCTCACGGAAACCCTAAAAGCTAGGCAGCAACACCCACTGTGCAGGTGAAACCCCGGAGCCCAGAGATGACAACCTGGCAGGTCTGTCCAAGACTGCGTGATCTCTGCTCGTGAATGGAGAAGCCTGCTTTTGAATCTGGACCACAGAACTCCAACGTCATGAACTTCCCCTCCTTGTTTGCTCTGCAGTAGGATCTTATTTGTGTGTTCGAAAAGACAAAGAACTTAGGGGCGTCTGACTTCTGCTCAGCTCATGATCTCAGGGTTCTTGA